CATTTGGTATCAAAGATAGCATGTTCCTACTCATATCCTAAAATCTACTTTTACCCTAGCCACCTCCACCAAAAATATTCATTCCTACCACACACCAAACCATAACCAAATTTTGAACAAACCTTTTTTTTTTTTTTTTTCAAATTTAGCAACCCCAAATTAAATTTTCTACAACTTCAATTAGTCTCATGCTCCCTCATTCACCTCCCAATCCTAAACCCTGATGCAACCGAGGAGATACATGCCCAAGCCTACCGGAGAAGAGATACAGTGAGAGATCAACTGACTTCAACGAAAGCTTGCAGACATTTAGGATGATACCCAGTGGAAGATTATCTTTGATCGGAATCTGGCGAATCAAAGGGGAGCAAGGGACAAGAGTAAATCTTTCCCATAGGGATGACTTTAGTGATGCAGAAAACAGGCCACGATGATTTGTAATCCAATATCAGTGGAGGCCTATAGAAGAGGCAGCATATAGAGAACAGGAGAATCAGAAGATGAAGCAAGGGATCCAGCGCCAGTTCTTACCAGCTTACGATAGATAAAAGATTCTGACTCGAACTTCAGAAGTAGACCACATAATGGGACGACCACCATATCTAACAGGCAACGCTCAAACTAAAGGTCTTATAGTCAGATTACGATCAGGAGAACAGCCAAGCTAGCTTCGTTAGATGAAAAGCTGAGTCAGAGAGAAGATAGGTGAAACCAATCTGCATCCCTAGATCTGTCCCAACCAGAAGGTCTTGTAAGTGTCACAGATTTGGGCATGTTTAATCAAACTGCACAACCAGGGAGTAATCTGTTTCACTAAGTAGAGTGTTCTTGAAAAATCAGATAATGACATAGTAGACAATAAAGACGACGAGGGCACAAAGGAGGACCAACTTCCAGTTGAGCAGAAAAGATGCACATAATTCCAGGTGAGCCCGTGGGAGAAACTCAAACCGACTTCAACGTGTGCATCCAAGGCAGTCTTGAGTATGAGGAACTGACACCTGAGGCATGACAACCTCAGGTAAGAGAAATCTAGCTAATTCATATCTATAGACTCACTCCTGAGTAGCCTCTACTGAGGCAGGTCCAACGTGTCAGAAATGAGGTCGATTTGTGCCATGTTTGGAATATTTCATGGAGTAATTCATAAGTTAGATTCAGTTTAGTACGGTACCCATCATCAGATGTCCAGACAGGAGGAATGAAACCCAGCCTTGAAATTTGTCTTAGGAGCTTAATAGTGAAGGAAATTATTCAATGGGATCCAGACCCACTCAATGGAGAAGAGGTCTCTCCCGAGTGGATTCTAGTGAGAGTAATGCAGTCTACCAAAACTTTTACCCAAGAGTTGATTTCTCCTCACATATTAGTTTATCAGCTATATTCCGCCGAGCACGAAAAGAGGAAGAAGAAGATTTTAGATTTAAGAGCTCAAGCATTAAATTACGAGAACCTACATATATATACAGCTCAAGCTTATGACGTCCCAAAAGAGGATGTATATTTATTTTATCAAAACGTGTTGTGGAATGACAACATCTACATGATCAACCTCTCATGGGACTGTAATACCTCTGCTACTATCAACGTGACAGACTTGACTCCATGTTACAAGGAATAGGAAGAGCTTCGACGAATAAAGTCGAAGCTCCTCCAACCCCGAGAGATTGACACGGGAGCTTAACGGGTAGCAATTCTATAGTTGTTATAGTACCACGGTCCCTTTTTTCTTATTTGATCCATTGCCTTTCTCGATTTTCATCCTAACTCTATTTCTTGCCGATTCTGATTCCATCATATTTTATCTATTAGTTATTATATATATGTGGTTTTGCTTGCATAGGGTTAGTTTTGATTAATTCCAGATTTCATATTTCTGTCAGGATAGCCGTAGACGTTCGTTTTACCTTTTGAGGGTTGTATCTGAGAGATTGGTAAGTGCTCCGACTACGTCTCTCTCCCGAGGTGGTGATTATCTTCCTCCTATTCCATTTTTCATCACCCCACACCGCTCCCTGCCGCCACACCTCATTGCAGTTGCCCGCAACAGCACTCAGTTTGTTGTTTTCTACAATCCTCAGCCTATAAGCCACCTTCCCCTCCCTTTCAACATTGCTGCCACCCAAATCGCACATTTTTCCTATTGTCCTAGACCTCCCACTAGACCACTATCGCCTAGGGCAGCCAGAAAACAATTCCTTTATGCTGTCTTGTTGCTTTCTATCCCAACTCCTCACATCATCGCCTAGGAGAGCCTCCATACTTATTGTCCCTGTATTTCTGCATCTTCCCCTCGCCGCCACAAGCATTTCTTTGCTGCCACCACTCCCTCTAGCCATCTCGATCCTCCTAGCCGGCCTCCACCACCCTTGACATACACTTAAGTAGTGCTTGCTTGTGTTGTTTTATGTTTGTTATCATGTATTTCCTGTTTGAAGAGTCGTCTTCATAACCTTATTTGAATTCAGCAATAATATTTCTATTTCTATTGTGGCTTGGGTTAACTCCGGTATCAAAGGCACTACCGATGACTTTGAGTTTTTTGCTTGGATGACTGTTGAGAGATTGAGGGAAAACATTTGAGTTTTTTGCTTGGATGACAATAGAGAGGTTGAGGAAAAACATTACTCTTGTCTATCACAGGCTAAACGTGAGAATTGTTTTTAATATTTTTTTATAAACTAGTGCCAAAGGCAAACGGAAAAGGTTTAGGCTTATTGTATATGTGTTACATACATTGACATTCTATTTTTTAGCCATTTGAGATCAATGGTATAGAAATAGTTAACTTTCGCGCAAATCCATTGTGAATTTTAGCCCAAAAAACCATTTGTATAGATAATCTTTAATTTATTATTAGATTAAAACTGCTTGCTGCCATAACAGAAAAATACATCCACTAATTTTTCTTTAAGGTCATGAAATTTTTTAGAGTTCATAGGCTAAATGAAATTAAATGCTAATTAAGGTTGTACTAGCTGGTCTTAATTCAATATAAATTTTTTATCTATCTTAAATGTTCTGATGTCAAAGAGGTCAAAGCAATAACCTTAAAAAAGAAAATCATTAAATATTTTCTTTCAAAATTAATCTCATTAATTCCGATTTATTAACCTGAAGAGTGAACCTCTTTTATTCCAAATTGTTGATGGATAGACTGATATCACAATCAATTATTAAATTTCAATTATATTTATTATGAAATTTTTTATCCTTCTTCCCAAAGAGTGTATTAAAGCAAAATGATCTCACTCAATGCAAAGGATCGCTCATAGAATGCTTTTTTGAGTTGTCCTTATTATGAGTTCTATCGCCCTTTTTGTGGACATTGTTGCCATTATTCCCCAATGCTTGCCACTAAAGAGGATCGACAATTTTTTTGATAATGTTTATAAACTCACAGCTGTACAAGTTCATTGATTCTCTCACAGCTATTCCCTGGCACCATCGTCATTTCCAGAGGACCCCCACACTCTCAAAATAGTTCACCAACTTGCTCAACGCTTTAAAGAATCTCCAAAGCAATCCTTAGTTTGAATGATCAATAATGCTCTCAACAAAAGATTTGTGAACTGCAACATTCCAAGAAATTGAAACGAAAAAAGGACAAAAAATATCATAATTTGGTAAATTAAGAGAGCACATTGGACGCTAAAATAAACACAGTTAAACAGTCTTGGGATCATTTATATAATCAACAACAATTATGATGGGAAAGCATCATTGAATGCTATTTAATAATTAATCATATATAATCATCATTTTCATAAAATCAGAATCAATTTGTGAATGAATGACTATCAAAATAAAAGAATAGTTGTATCCGACCCCCACCACCCTATTATATATATGGAGACAGTGTATTATTGTCATTATCAAAGGATTATGCATACACAACGCATGATGGCCATGCCTGATTACACACATAAGAACTAGCTGCAGCAATAAGTTGGCTCCATAGTACACACTTACCAACAAAACACAACAACGTACATATTTACATGTAGGGTTGTAATCAAGCCGAGTATATCATAGTTCGGACTTGACTTGGTATAATTATTAGTTGTTCATGTTCGGCTTGAGCTTGTGTCGAGCTTTCATATATTGTTCAAGCTTGACTTATTTAAAATTTTCAATGTTTGAACTTGATTTGTTTATAAGAAGTGAACGAGTATTTAAACGAGCTAAAAATTCAAATGAGTATCTAAATTTTCTTAAAAGAAATCAATAAATAATTTTACAAATTTGATCACAACTATTAATTTATTGATTAGAACTCTAAACCCTATAATATCTTAAATCTCATTTCTCCTCCATTTTGCCATAAATCCCTTACTTAAGAGGTTGTTTAGTAGAATGATTTGTATAGCATTTAAGCATGATTTAACCTAAATCCTGCAAAACAACTAAAAATGACAACTTTAAAACCTACATAAACTTAATATCTGAGCATTTATATATCATATATGATACGAGCTATCAGCAAATAGTTAATATTCTAGTTACTTAAATTTTATTTAAATAATATATTATATATGATACGAGATATCATCGAGCTTAATATCCAGTACTTAACAAGTTACTTGTTGAACAACAAACGAGTTGTTCGTGAATATAAATAAACAAGTTCGACTATGTTCATGTTTAGTTCATTTAAGCTTCAACTTTTTAAAAATTGTTCAAGCTTGATTATTTACTAATTTGAACGAGCATGATTGAGTCTTAATCGAGCCTAGTTTGAGTTGTTCAAAGAGTGCATTGCTTCACTTATAGCCTTATATACACGGCATAAAGCAACAAAATTTGAAGTTTAAACATGTCTGCTTAAACAAAGAACCAATTTCAACCACAAGCAAAACATCGACCCACACAAAGAACAAATGCCACAAAACAAACTGAAACAAAAAAAATGTGAGAGCAGCCTCAACCACCACTACATGCACCTAACTTTCAAACAAAATAAGATTTAAGCACTTTGAGGAATTATACTAAGAACACACCTGCTTTATCCATGACATCAATAAAGCCATCTTTCTTTATTCTTTGAATGAAATCTTTCCCCAGACGTCCTTCAAGACCTCTTTTTAATGTAAAGCAGCCAGAAACATTAATGATCAAAGGGGCATCATTATGCATAGATGCATAGAAAAGAACCACATTTCCCCCTGTTGAAACTTCGTTAGTTGTGCTTCAAAACATTAAATTCTGAGAAGATTGAATGGCAAGGAACTTGCAGATAACATTTTGGTAAGCAATTTGTAAGTTATTAGGCAGCCAAGTTGTAACAAACATAAATGTTGCTGATACACATTAAAAATACTTGGCCACACAATAGAAGACAATGCAATTTCGGCTAATAATCAAACAACATATAACAAAGATCATTATCTAGATCTAATCAACTTTTCAGCATGTACAATGTATATATGCAGCCTACATAGACGCAGTCTATGCTCTATTTGCAGTATTTCTAGTCAGTTTCAGACCTCAGATAAGAACACTGAATTGAAATGGCAGCACTTGCATTAGCAATTCGATTTATTGTATATATGCGAAGTAAAAGACCACTAGTAAATGCAAAAAGATATTAAAAAACTAAAAAAGAAATATTCAGTACAAGCTAGAAGAGTCGTGAACACATAGCTATTATTTAATTCATGCATTAAATCTTTGTTTGACTACTGAAACAGACGTTAAATGTGAAGAGAAAGGATCCAAAAGGCACAAAAACGAACCTATCAAAGCTATTCTTGAAAGAATTTCAAGCCAGAAGGGTCAGATGTTTCAGTTGTTTTATGAGTAAACTGTCTCTGCCTGATTTATTCGCCGGTTCTCTGCTTAAAATCTAAATGCCGAACAGAAACCCAAATTTCTTCCCTTTGCTAGCATGCTCCCTCTCTTGGCTGACAACACACAATAGCTTCTCCCGATGAATTCATCTTTGCTCTACTCAATCTCTTCCTCAAATCTAAGGTAAAAACTCATTTTACATGGTGCAGCAATGTTTTTCAAAGTTTTTTGTCCGTTAATTTAAAAGATTTAGGGTTTTAATTCTTTTGGAAAAATACGCAAAGAAAGCATAAATTTCACAGTGATGTGTTCAGGGTTTAGGTTAACTTCAACATCTTGTCTCATTTTCTTCAGCCTCAAAACCAGCAAGAAAAAAGCCTAGAAGTTAGAAGCCCAAACTAAAGGGGTCAAATTTACATATGAACCACAATTATTTCTGATTTACATTTCTAACATCTAACATTGCTATAATACACTTATATCAAAATGTGCATTTCACTTTTGAAATTTAATAAAACAGTAGATTTAATGTGATGTTAAAGATTTCAGTGTTATGAATGTAAATATTAATGTTAAGGTGTAAGATATATAAATATCTAAGAATTGTGTGGTATGTATGGGTGTAAATGAGTCGGCTTGAGCTCGAGCTTATTTACTAAATGAAGTTCAAGCACAAACTCGATCTTACTCCTGCTAGTTCGAGATGACTCGTATGTCAACTGGTTTATTGTGAAAGAAAATAATATTAATTCAAACTAATATTATTATAAAATGGAAAATAGACAAGTTGGCTCATGAGCTGAGTTGACTCAGGGCTACCTTGAGCTTTGGCTTGTTAGCTCATCAAGCTTGTATCTTGAGCCACTTATTGAACCAAGCCCGAGCCACCTACTATACCCTTAATGATATGTATGTAAATGCCTTTTAGCATATGATTACAATTTTGTATAGGTTTAGGTAGGGTTTGCAAAATGTGCATGGATCACTCTACATAGGATTAATTTAATGAAGATTTATATAGAAATCACTCAATTTATATGTTTCATTTCACTTTATAAAAGTTAAAATAATAATACTTTCTTTGCGATATAAAAGTTTGGGTTGTCTAAATGTGAAAGGTAAAGTTTAAGTTTTAGATATCTAAATACATGGGAATTGAGTGGTATTTATGTAAATGCCCTTTACATTTTTGGTTTAGATATAAGTATGCAAGTTTAGGTGTTAGATGTGATTGATCAGTGTCGCCACCAGCCCGACCGATCAGTCAACCACTTTGCATTTGATATGCTGCATTCATAGTATGCTTTTCAGATTGCCAGCATTAGCACGTCCACACCTGAATATCGTTGTGCACTCAGGAGCATATACCCTCATAAGTTCATGACGAGTAAGTGTGCCTCCCAACGACACTTTACTCTACATCCACTTTATGGCATCCTAGGTCACTTACCACCACATCACAAGTGGTCTGCACTTTCACTTGTGCACCCCTGCATGCCTACCTTGCATGACATCCTGAATGTTCATGACCTGTATACATGAAGTTGTTTGCATTCGGATTTGTGTCCTCATACACTTATCGCACTCACATTGACACTCCATGTGAATGGATGGCTTGCCACCAACCCCATCCATTACGTAATCCTCTCCAATGAGAATTACATTTCTTCAACTCCTACTACACCACTTCGGACTGTTGTAGACATCCTCCCAAGTAAATATCTCCTTGGCACACTCACCTATGATTTACTGTCTCCTCAACACACTCATCACTAAGTCACTACCTCCTCGACACACTCAGTCCCGAGTCATTACCTTCTCAGCACACTCATCCTCGCTTGTGTTATATCTTTTGCATGCATCACTCTACTTGGTCGGTGTATTCTTCATTAGTGTATGCCACCAAATACTAGTGGCGAATGTTTTCCATCTTTCGATCATTCCTACTCTGTTAGGATGATCACATTACATTGGATCACTTTGCATTTGTGCATGCATTTCTGGTTGTCTCGACGACGAATCTGGCTCGTTAGCTGAGTGATCCGTTGCTGGCAACGATGAGGTAGCGAGTTTTGCCCACGGGAATGCCTTGGCGGACAATACTAGCTACCATGGTGTGGCATATGTTATGCTAAGATTCCAATGATTCTAATAGTTGTCACTTAGGCTTTTCCTTCATTATATCCTATTTTTAAAAGTATAAAAATCTATATTTTTACTAATTTTATACATCATATTTTCAAAACTTACTTTGATACTACTTGTATATTTAGCTTAGACCGTATATGAGGCCAATTTTTTTTTTCAAAAGCTTTTTCGCAAAACCTGCATCTAGTGGCACCTCTTAGAATATTTGGTTCCTTAAGATGGGGCCAGAGACGGCGACCCTGTCAAAACAAATGTCAGTCTTCTTACTTAACCCTGCACTCACTTAGATGTTGTGATAGGGCACTACACTTTAGATGGTGTGTTAGGCTAAAAACTAGGATGATCGATAGTCATTTTCGATGGCCTGGCTATAATTCTCAGTGGATTTGGTTGTATTAGCCAGGCATCATCTTTTGTGCTTTTGGTGTGCTTGCACGTTTACCAATTTGGAGATATGTGCAGTAGTATATTAGGTCGGTCTTCTTGCAGGGAGCCATGCCTAAATGCACACACACGTGTAATAGGGAGGAGCAAGTAATGATTATGACTAACTATTTTCTGCAAGCATTGCTAAACTCCTCCTGTCAGGCATGGCTCATATGTGTTGCATGTGGATAGAATTTGATGCTAACATTATTTTCATGCAGGTCGAGTCTTTTTTTTCTTTTATCATGTATTTAATAGAGTCCTTAGGATCGAGACTGTATCGAAAATAAGGTACGGGCATGGGTTTTGAAACACATGACACATTGAGTCACGTCACAAGGGAACGGGAGCAGCAGGCTCGTGTCTCATACCTTAAGACCAAATTCATATTCTTGTATAGAAGTGGGACCACGTGTGTATTTATGTAGTGTCTGGCCATCTTTCCTGCTTTCTTGGGATATATCTGCGACCCAACGACACCAGTTTGTTCTATATTTTTGTTTGACGTTTTCTTTACTTTTTGTATTGCATGCTTGTGTGCTTGAAATTGGTTTCGCCCTTTTACCTTGTGCTTTTGTTTGGAAATCATGCGGATCATTTAGGCTCTTTAGAACATATAATTGTAAACTTTTTACAAAAATCCTAAAAAAATTCAAGACTAATCAAAATTTAGGATTAAAAAATTCAAGATTTTTCAAAATATGTTTTTACTTTCCTACATGGCCTTTGAGTTGGATTTTAAATGAGTTGTGTAGTATGGTCTCACCCAAGTCATAAATAATAGGGCCTACACGCTTAGGACTTATTAGACACCTACATAATATTATATGTCCCGAGGAGAAATACTCGTGCTTCTCCAACTTGACTGACCCAATATAGAATTCTACTCGAGTGATTGTCTAGTATGTTTAGGGTGGTAGAGACTTCCCTGACCCAGACGGGGCATAAGTTCTATGTTGAGAGTGTTTCCAACTTTGTAGTTGGACCTCTCATCTCTTTTCCACTCCAGCGATATCTTCATCACTTTAACTGGTATAAGTCTCACCTCTACTCTTCTTACCTACATAAGAGATCATAGGATTTAGAGTTTCCTTCTCTTTGTCTTAAGGCTACCAAGATCCCCTTGTACAATTCAATTTACGGATTGCTGACAAGGGATCTCCGGTTGTTTTGGGTAAACTACATTCACGACCAAGTAAAATACCCGATTAGAATTACTTTACCTTTATTTTGCTCCCTCCTTAAGCCCTGTCGCCCCTTTTGATGCTTCATCGATGTCTTCTCATAAGCTTAGATTGCAGATAGGCCGCCTCCCATTTGGGATACGATGATTCACCCTCTGCCCTAATGGTTTTGTTTGGTTTTGAAATCATAATGTAGATCCTACAAGTCAATCGGGTTATTTTACGGGCCTCATGTGTCGATGAGTCGCTACCCATTTGGGATGTGAGAGACTCGTTTTCTGCCCTGTGACTTTGCGAGAGCTTTAAATGCCACGAGATATTCCTATGAGCTAACACTCCATTGTGATACTCTGTACTAATCGTCACCAAAATGTAAGCAGGACTCATCTAATCGAGAGCATTCTTGGGCACTCCCAAAGATGTGATTAACCAAGGGAATACTTTCCCTTAGGAGTTGGTCTTGACCCCAGAACAAGCATACGAGCTTGAATCTCTGATTGTGGGTTGTTTTTATAGGGTCTTCTTCGTGAATATGTTTCAAAGCCTTCTCGATCCGACCTATTTTGAACGTACGCTCATGTATCATCACACGAAATTTAGCTTACAAAAGTTATCCA